ATAATAAAATTGTGGGAACTTTGCATCATCATTTAAAAAAAACACCACCGCACGCCACTGAGTACAGTGTAGTTTTACCGAGCAAACAGCAGAAACGGCGAGAAAGACCGTGGCAGCTGCCACGAACTGTGGCAGCTGCCAGAAACGACTAGTGGCAGCTGGGGATGCCACCGGAAGTGGCGCTGCGACCTGCCGCTGCCAGGATTTGCGCTTGCTCTCTCTCCTATTGGGGGAATGATCCGGTTTAGTTCAATCTACTGCCTCCAGAGCAGCCACAGACGTTGTGTGGAAGATTAACAATTAATAAATAAAATAACAGCTTAAATATCTGACATTTTGACAGAAAAAGCTATCGCAGTAATTGGGAATATAGCACGCTACTTCAGCACTAGCCTACTACTACTACAATATTTTTCTGATAGTTTTATATAGCCTACTATTTTGTCAAGTCTGGAGCGACATGAGGGTGAGTAAATGACTGTTGATTTTTGCTTAAACTATAGGCTACCTTTAGTGCCATGCTCATGATTAAGACACTCCATCAATTAAAGAGATCGATTAATTTATGGTGTATCGTATCAGTTTTAAGTGAACTAAAGAACAGGTTTTTTTGACAATTGGGGGCGCCAGAGTACTTCAATGAAATTGTCCCAACTAAAACACATGGGCTGATTTGGGAATATCATACTATCACACTACTCTTACCACTACCACAACTTTATATGGCAGAAATAGCAATAGGCTATATATGCTGTGCTGGTGCTGAGGTACTCATTTATACCTCAAGTTAAACATCCTTTATATTTTGTTCCCTACATGTTTGGTCCTTATGAAAAACGCCTCATTAAACAATATAGGCCAACAATGTAAATAGCAGTCTAATAATAATTTGGGTGATCTTTCTATTTTTCTGAGTGTTGAAGCTTAATTCAGTTTTATGAGAAGGCTAACACTATTGGCTATGGCACATTACTCGAGCACTCTTGTTAAATACGAGCTTGAATAACGCAGTAATTTCACAAGAAGCCATTAAAAGCAGATACGCCTCGCAGCTATTGTCACGATTCATTACGAGACCTCCACATGTACGCAATTTACTGGCAATAAAACACTGACAGCATTTCTGTCCACTTCATTAAGGTTCTAATGTCTTGTAAAAATTTTGCATTAATCCTTTAAATGGCTACTGGCCTGGCGCACTTTAGAATTTTTGGTCAAAACAAGAAACTCCTCATGCAGCTGGTAGGTGAATAATTAAACAATTCTGGTTAATTAAGAGTCGGGTTTAGATGTAAGGAATTTTATGTGCATCAAAACAATAATAAAAAAAGAAAAAGAAATGTATCCACCATATTTTTTTATAGGCTACAACAAATAGAAACAAGCATTAAGAGTAAGGCATGACTTGTTAATTTACAACAATAACCACAATTTCCTCCAAAGGACAATTAGGCCTAATTACTTTACAGTTTATGGTTTTATTAAAGCAATATCACACGTACAATTGTTCTGAAGTACTGAATATAAGCATAATATGTATAATATAATTATGTTTAAGTTGTTATTTACTTATAATCTTAATGTCTGGATTGGCTCATTAAGTCAGACATTGTTACTTGTCTCACTGTATATCTAATTATTTTGAATTATATTATAATGGATTAACTTTATATAGCTATGTTGTATAAAGTTACTACAATTTTTATTATTGGGCTACTGTAGTACCATAATATATTAATATGGGTTGTCGTCAAACATAAGAGGCTTTTAGAATTGATCAGTTCTGTCCTTTTTAAAATTATTTTTTATTCCAATGTTGTATTGTACCAAGTTAACACAGTTGTTGCACTGCCAACTGTAGTAAGATGAAAACTATGGTTTACAAACAAGTGTCTGAAGCACATCACTTGGTAATGCCGTTTTCTGTCCCCTAGATGTCGCCAATGCTTATGAATTAGACCTGAATTATTGTGTTTTTCTCTCTCTCTTTGCCTAGTTATTGTTTGTCTTGTCTCTCTTACCCTTTCAGTGGCGACCAACATGCTAATGAAATGTTAACATCACGCACTTGTACAATGAGCGAGAAACCAGCATGATGTACAACTGTAATTTGTCTGAATAGCAGTGGCTGAAATTGCTTTACTTTATCAAAACTGACGCGGCTGCGCACCCCCTTCCTCTCCTAGACGTTAATGACCAAACTTGGCTAATAATTGGGAACTCTTAGCGCTCAACACCTCTTCCCAACTGCAGTGTTGACGTGATTGTGCTACAGTCCTCACACCAAAGTGTCTGGAACTTTTCTGATGGCTAGGTCTGATGTTATGCTAAGTTTAGAAAGTGCCACACTGGAGTGGAGACTGATAGACATTTGTCAGCTGCGCATTCCCTTTTATCTTGTGCCACTGTAGGTGTGCATTCTGAAGCAGATGAAACGAGGCTCGGTTCTTGCTAAACAAATCGACGTGACTTGAGGAAACCGCTCCGGTTGCCATTTCACCAGGTGCTGGTTATTTTTTACATCAAGACAGTGCTGTCTGGCAGCTCCACGATCTGAGCGAGATGTCCTGTGAGGAGAGATCTGTCTTACAGGAGCAGCGCTCTGATTGTGAATTAGGGACCTGATCTGCTGGCCTGTCCTACTCTGGTATGGATCAGAGGGAAGCAGTAGTCATACCTCAGCACTGTCAGGGCCCTCTTTTATTAGAGTACTGCTTTGCCAACAAAATCCAACATCAGACAGCCTCTAGTCATGACAGTAGGAATGGGGGGAGGGAAAAAAGGGGAAGTAAGGAGCGAGACAGGAGCGCCGGTCAGATCCTGTATTTTTTTGTGTTGGGCCATCAGAGCGTGTCGAGCCAGGGCAGTCAGCCAGCAGCCGGCTAATGGGCAGCACTGGGTCGACTGTGACTAAAGGAACAGCGACAGATGCCATTATCTCAGCCTTGTGCAGATACGCTGTCCCGGACAGCTCAGCCCAGTGCTGAAGTTGCATGTGAGTGCTTGTTTAAACTTAATGGAACACGATGGATCGGGTAATCGCTGGCTCTAGGATAGCCCGTTCCTCTTCTCGCCTGTAAGAGGTTATACACACACACATGAGACACGTCGCTCAACTCGCCCGTTCCTCATTGCCTATTCACAGGCATCATGAAAAACATATTGCCGGCCTTCCGCCCTCATCAGGCTCGGGTTTAAAACATGTTCTTCTCGCATCGCCAGGAATGTTCCGGCGGTTGGGCAAAGAGCGTGCGACCCAGGCTGCGAGAAGGAGTCATTAGGCAACATTTTTTGGAGGTATAACAAATGTGATCCGTGCTCGCTTTGGTGCAGCGATGTGGGGCAGCTATATGGCTGTTGACAGTGGATTGGCACCCATCAAGTCATTTGCTGGAGT